GAGGCTTCCAGGCAGACAGGCTGTGCAAGATTTAACACAGACCCAATTGTTTTAAATAACACACATGGATTATGACTGTTTGATACAACAATATCAGACAAATATTCTCTCTTAGCTTCTTTAACAGTCCTTTGATAATTGTGCCATCAATCCTTTAAGATTTGAAAAGAGACCTGCAGTCTGTCCTTCTTCCACCTCCGTTCAGCTTTACGGCATGCTTGCCTAGCCGCACGAGTCTTGGTGCCAAACCATGGTTCAGGCTTAGCTTTAGGCTGCCAAACCTTTAATGGAGCCACAGAATCCAAAATAGAACAGCAGGAAGAGTGAAACCAGGAACTAAGCTCCTCAGTGTTGCCAACAGCTGGAGCAGCAAGCTGGTCAAAGGCAGCATCAAACTAGGTCCTGGGAGATAGTGGAGCCCAGGAACTTGACTTGAGTCCAGTTTCAAGACCCTTACTATGCCTGTTTTTCTACAATCAGGATCACTGCAGGCGTGATGGTGATCTCCCAAGAATGGGGGTCATTCAGGAATTCATCCATCTTCATCCGCTTCATCCGGGACCGGGTCACGGGGGCAGTAGCCCGAGCAGAGCCTCCCAGACTTCCCTCTTCCCACACACCTCCTCTAGCTCCTCAGGAGGAACCCCAAGGTGTTCCCAGGCCAGCCGGGAGACATAGTCTCTCCAACGTGTCCTGGGTCTGCCCTAAGGCCTTCTTCCGGAGGGACATGCCCAGAATACCTCCCCAAGGAGGCGTCCAACTCGCATCCTAAACAGGTGCCCGAGCCACCTCAACTGGTTCCACTCAACATGGAGGAGCAACGGCTCTACTCTGAGCTCCTCCCGGGTGACAGAGCTCTGCACCCTATCCCTATAGGTGCGCCCAGCCACTCTCCAGAGGGCACTCATTTCTGCCGCTTGTATCCGCGATCTCATTCATTCGGTCATGATCAAGTTCATGGCCATAGGTGAGGGTAGGAACTTAGCTCGACTGGTAAATTGAGAGCTTCGTCTTATGACTCAGCTCCTTCTTCACCACAACGGACCGGTACAGAGACTGCATTACTGTGGATGCTGCACCGATCTCTCAACCCGCCGTTCCATTTTTCCCTCACTCGTGAACAAGATTCCGAGATACTTAAACTCCTCCATTTGGGGGAAAAACTCGCCCCAATCCCAGAGAGAGCAATCCACCTTTTTCCGATTGAGAACCACGGCCTCGGACTTGGAGGTGCTAATTCTCATGCCCACCGCTTCACACTTGGTTGCAAACCCCTCCAGTACACGCTGAAGGTCTTGAACTGATGAAGCCAACAGAACCACATCATCCACAAAGAGCAGAGACGAGATTCTGCAGCCACCAAAACAGACACCCTCCATTACCCGGCTGCGCCTAGAAATTCTGTCCATAAAAATAATGAGCAGAATCAGTGACAAAGGGCAGCCTTGGCAGAGTCCAACATGCACTGGAAACAGGTCTGACTTACTGCCAGCAATGCAAACCAAGCTCCTACTCCGGCCATACAGGGAACGGACAGCCCGTAACAACGAGCCGCGCACCCCACAGGATGCCTTCTCCAGAGCCACACATTGTAGACTGGTTGGGCAAACTCCCATGAATCCTCCAGCACCCTAGTGAGGGTACAGAGCTGGTCCAATGTTCCACGGCTGGGGCGAAAACTACATTGTTCCTCTGAGGTTCAACTGTTGGCCGGATTCTCCTCTCCAGTACCCTGGCAGCGCACCCCACAGGATGCCTTCTCCAGATCCACACATTGTAGACTGGTTGGGCAAACTCCCATGAATCCTCCAGCACCCTAGTGAGGGTACAGAGCTGGTCCAATGTTCCACGGCTGGGGCGAAAACTACATTGTTCCTCTGAGGTTCAACTGTTGGCCGGATTCTCCTCTCCAGTACCCTGGCATAGACCTTCCCGGGGAGGTTGAGAGGTGTGATCCCCCTATAATTGGAACACACTCTCCAGTCCCCTTTCTTAAAAAGAGGGACCACCACCCCGGTCTGCCAGTCCAGAGGCATTGTTCCCGAGCTCCATGCAATGCTGCAGAAGCGTGTCAGCCAAGACAGCCCCACAGCATCCGGAAAGCGTGTTGGACAGGGGACATTGTTGGCCACCAAAGGACTGGAACACCACCGATGGGGATAAATACTACATCCCCTACTCAGTGCCAGTCGAGCAGAACTGATGAAGCCTCTTGGATGAGAGGTGAAATGTCTTCGACTTAAAAACCTAGTCCAGTTGATTTTCCAAGTTTTTTCAGCTTACTTTTGACCTGGATAACTGAGAATCTGCACGGACATGAGATGGGGAGATTTAAAAGGCATTTAAAATTGTTAAAAAACTAGACTGAATAAGAGTTCTAATAGAAAAGAAAGAAGGGACTTAAAAATATCATGGTTTAATGAGTAATTTTCTGGTATATGAATATATCATTACAAAATTCTAGGAAAGTAAAGATGGTTAGAAGGATCAGTCCCATTGTAGCACAGTGGAATAATTGTGAAAGGTTGTTCACTATGTTATGTATAATCAAAACAATAAAGGCCAACCTTTTGAATGTTTAAGGTTTTTATTAACACACAAAAATATTGACAGTTATTAAAGGTTTCAGTTAATAACAAATATTTGCATATGCTGGCTTTTTTTTAACTTAAAAAGAATGAATAACCTTTATTAAGTATTATTAAACAGTTCATGGTTTGACATATTACAACCGCAATGTAGCCTATTTAAAAGTATGGTCTTCAAATGTATGATTTTATAAAAAGGTGTGTGTCATTTCTTAGTAAATTGTAATACGTAACCATAAGGCCACAGTGTGTGTGGATTTGGGTTACTCCTGATTGACACTGCTGCCCTTCTGTCTGAGGGCTGACATAGCGCCTGCACGTGCACACAGCAGTGGACACAAAGAATTAATAAGCTTATGAATGAACCCTTTACACACGTGGAGGTATCTTCTGTGTATGCAGGCAATTCTTCCTCTAAATCAGGGGTGTCAAACTCAATCGCACAGGGGGCCAAAACTCAAAGCACCCTTTAGGTCGCGGGGCGAACAGGATAAACATTTATTTTACAGACTAAAACTAAACATTTTTTTAACATAAATATGAATTGAAACAGACCGGACACAATATTATTCCAAAATAAATAAACGAACTTAAAATCACCAACCCTATTTCTGCTAAGCCTTACATTTACAAACACCTGCTTTTTGTCTGGACATGACGTCGCACACTTTCATCATGCAGCTCTTCAGAAACTCTCCCTCGGTAAATGTCCGGACTGATTTTCTCCTCTGTCCCAATAAAACTTATTTCACAGCAGCTTCACTGTGATTTCACTTTGGTGAAAACGTCTGCTGTGATGTCAGATTCCTCTTCAACTCCTCTACCTTCTGTAGCTTCTGCTCTTCATTCACGTTTTTCAGCTTGTCCTGATGTTTTGTCTCATAGTGCCGTCTTAGGTTATATTCCTTAATTACAGCCACATTAGCTCCACAAATAAGACACACAGGTTTATGTCAGTAAACATATACTCAGCCTCCCACCGGTTTAGTAAAGGCTCGTTTTCAGAATCAACTTTCCTCTTGGCCATTGTTAGGGGCTAGCTTTGACCTGAAATTAGGGTTGTATACATCAACAGACGCTTGATTGATCTGACGTAATTGATGCGGGAATGATCGCAGGTAGCCTATCATTCGGTAAGGCAGCTGTTGCGCTGCATTATGGGATTTGTAGTTTGTGTGTTATCGGCACTTCATATCCCCGGGCCATTAAAAAAAGATATATAAAATGATCTCGTGGGCCGGATGTGGCCCACGGGCCTTGAGTTTGACGCATGTGCTCTAAATGTAATTCAAGAGTCACCAATACATTTGGCTACTAGCAGACATTAGCTGCATATTAGCACATCCGGCAAATTTTTATCAAAACAATTAGTATTTCTTCATAGAAACATTTTACATTGTGACAAATGGAAAGTAAAGAAAGCAGATCAATTCTTTGAAATTTGTAACCATTTTAACAATGTACTACTACCTCTTCCTTGAGTCGGCCGACTCACACTGGTTCCAGTTAATCCCAGAGTTCAAGCTGGTGAAACACTGTGGTCCTAAGACTACCGAATTTATGAAAACAAACAGTAAATTGGCTTTTATATTAGCCATCCCTTCTTTTGGCTCTGCAACAGTCAAATGAGGTAATAAACCACTGATTCACAATAAAGAAGTATAGGACCAAATGTCAGAATTGTCCATCTGAAACAGTACAGATAGAGCTGTATTCATGGCCACTTAACAGATGGTAGAAGTGTTGTCACGTTATTGGGACACCATGCTGACCTTATAAATGCCTGTTCTGATTAAACACAACAACTCAAACCTCAAAAGCAAGTGTTCAGCTGACCTCATTCTTTAGTGCCTGTCATGCTAGGAGTAATTTAAAGAATCATGAATTATGCAGAAGTGCATAGGCAAAGTCAGTGCTTCTTCATAATTTGTTAAATCTGCAGCTGATTCTATTATAATTCAGGACATTATAGCATCGTCAGGCTAAAATGAAGAATACAGCACAATCCCAGTGCAAACTAGCAGTAGCCCAGCTCAGTTTAGCTTGGACATCAGAAACCATCCAGCTCTGTTACATTCTGTAAGTGCATTCATATGCCAGGTCTAGATAATGCTGTCAGACAGAACTAAACTGAGATTGATGGTACTGGCTTACTTTTTTCAAGTAGTGTTAATTTGAAGTGAGTTGAGTTCAAATACAACTTGAGCTTGTATTTGAATGTGAATTTTTCTGGTTACAAATAGTTAAGTTATATGTCTCAGTTTTGCATAGGATTTAATGCTACACACAAATTTACATTCACAGATAAACACAC